CCCAGGCTGCGGCTCCTTCTCCCAGCATGCCATGCTCGCTGCGGTTTCATTAAAATTTAAGTACACAGAGTTGCTCAAGTACATGGTCCCGTTGGCCCATTTCCTCCAACTACCCGTCACCCCATTTAGAAGTTGCCAACCACAGGAAGAAAAAAAATGTCTCTGACCCTTGAGACCCTTTGTGAGTAGAATTGTGTTTGTGGGGAAACGCCGCGCCGCACGGTGGGACGGTACGTCGGGTTAATTTGTTCTATGATGAAATAAAGGAGATTGAAATAAAATCGAGTATTTTTGTCTTGCGACAACACACAGAAACAAAGACTATAGATTGCAAAAGAAGTCCCGACCGGAAGGTTTTCCCCTGGTGCACAGGCGTTGGCCAGTCTGTTACCACTCTGCTCGGCCCACTGAGGCTCAGCAATCGTACTAGATTAAGTGAGAGCTTGCAGTGAACCCAAGCAGAGTACTGACATCACCATCAACCGCGGCCTTGAAGAAAATCACAGATGTTTAATGTTTTATCCCTAATTGTTGTCTGGCGTTCTCTGTTCAGGTCTTTTGGGTGTCCTGCTCGGTTTGGCCAGCTGTGTTTTATAGGGCTTTTCTTGCCTGTTTGCTCCATGACGACAGTTTCCAAGATTCCCTTCCTCTAATGGGGATGACAATTACGTCGATGAAGAGATCGTTGTCTCCGGTAGATTTCAGAGGAATATTTTCGGTTGTTGTCCTGTTTTTCTCTTAGAGCTCCACTAAGAACACATCAGTGAACCGCACTGTTGCACCGACACATTAATATTTATCCAACTTTTATTGGATTGTATCAATGATTTTTTTGGATACTCTTTAAAATGTGGCCTTGTATAAAAATAAATGAATGTCCTTGATAATCTTTGTCAACATTAATGCACATCACTAACTTTGTTTTTTCCACGGTGTATTAGTACTTTCTCACCTCGCATGAGGTTCTATCTGGACGTGTGCTGATGTGAGTGTTTCGGTACAGAGGGTGTCACATGTGTACAGACTGTAAAGCCCTCTGAGGCAAATTTTGTATTTGGGCTGCACAAAATACATTGAATTGAATTGAAGTGTCGGGTGCACTGTTTTCACTCCGTGCTGTTACGCTCATTAATAAGAAAGAATACAGTGGAACATTTAAAATGTCACAGTTATGCATTTTATTATTGCATTCAACAGAACTTTTACTGAGATACATTTAACCACGCCCTGGCTTCACTCACATCTAAAACAAATAGCATGTTGACTGATTTATATAATTAAAAATGAGAAGTCTATAATACGTAGCACAACAAGATAGCTGCTTCTGGCGGTGTGTTGGTCTGTGTTCATTACTCTGCAGTGCGAAGGTTCCTTTTTGGAGCTGACAGCATTGGCAACGCTGACCTCTGACTGCTGGCTTTTGTTGTGCCTCATTAGGCAGCAGGAACACATCAGCCAATACTACTTATTAGCCTTTCTGTTGTGGCAACTACCAAGCAAATAGGCTTGGACTCGCCTCTTGTTACCTAAGCTCCCCGCTTGGCCTCTGGCATCATACAAGTGAAGAGTCTCTTTCCTTGGAGAAGTGCACTCCCCGAGGCCCAGGCCAGCACTGGAGCACTTGTCGGAGACCTGCAGCATTACAACGTGAATGGTGCGGCCTCAATGCAAATTCTTCCACACTCTCAGGCGGCAAAGGCCAGCATTGACTGACTGGTTGTGTTAATTTAGCTGCCTTTCACTCCTACTTGATCCACAGTCTTCTGGACCTCAATGGAAATAGATTAAAAAACATCTGAAGTGTCAGCGCAAGAATGTGCCATTCAGACTGGAAGCAACGCACCATTAACAAATGTCAGCCCGCAAACTACCAGCTGTGGTTAAACAAACCAGGGAGGTAAGCTATACAGCTCGCCGAGGCTCTGGTGTCAGCCATTGATAGCCTTGCGCATTGAGTGGATTCAGGGGAGAGTCGTTTTAACAAGGTGGGTGATCCACATCAACAGGAAGCAAACAAGCAGCAGATATGGAGGCCGTGGCTGTTAAACCACAAGGTTATTGCAGCATCCTTACTGTGGGTGGGGAGGGAGGGGGGGGGACTTGTGCCCTTTCTCAGTCATTTTACTCAGTAAAGCTCAGGCTGAGGTTACTCAGAAGAACGGCTCATGCCCTCAACAGCCAGTCTCACCAGCCGGACCGAGTCATATCCAGAGGGCAGCCAGAGATCAGCTTCGGGCAAAGGGGCTTTTGACTCTTTGGGCTCGGTGTGTGTCGACTGCAGGCCTCATGCGTGTGCACTGCAGGGCCGCGCACTTCACCTGGGATTTACAGGCTGCTTTTGACAAGGTTGCAACCTGTCCAATGCACCTTTTTCCTAAATGGTGAGGAGACAGTCTGAGAAGTTACTTCTCAGGGTGTCAAAAGATGATGCTGCAAGGGCCGAGGTGCCTATTTGAGCCCGTTACAATCTCTCGTTGTCCTGAAAAATGACATTAAAATCATTTCACAGATAAAACAAGACACGGCTCATCTTTTCAGATCAAAAATTCGTTCTAAATGCTAAATGCTTCATAATGTCTGCCATTTAGTGTCCTGCAAGTTAAGTCTGCAGGTTTTTTTCAACTTTTTCGCTGAAACGAAGGAAGTAAGAAGTAATTCAAATGCAAGTAACAGAAGTGAAGGACCTCGTGGTGCAGAAAGCAGTACGTAGTGTCACCCAAATGTATTGTAGTGTGTTTAGTCTGCAACAGCTAATCATATCAAAATCATAAGAATGGTGTTAATTGGTGAAGATTATGTTGCTGATAAAAGTTTGTTTGTATTATTTTCTGCAGTAATCCAATGGAAAATCGTATTTCTGTCCAGTGCGACGCTGACCTCTGGAATGCGCCACTCAAGATACTTTTTACCTCTGCCGTTTGCTAACAAGCAAAGGTTCTGCAAGGTGCATCGGTCCACACCGTCAAACATAAAAATAAATGGAGACATTCTTTTATTTTCATTTACTTTCAGTAGATTTTAACATCTGTTGACGGGTCGTGGGCTCGGACAGGTCATATCAGGCCACAGTTGTCAGCCTCACGCAGCGAGAAGCAGTGATGAATGGGAGGTCAAAGGGCTGTTTCATGCTATGTGACACGCTGGTTGAAGCGGTGACAGCACGGCCGCCTGAGCGCGTCACGTGTTCTGAGCGGTGGACAGACGGCTCTGTGTCCCGCGCGGTAGCGCTGCGTTGCCTTGTGTGGAGGCATGCAGCAGGTGAGTGACGATGCTACCAGGTGATTGGTCTTTCCACTTCCTATTGTTCCCCTGTCGCTGATAACCCCCAGTGACCCGGGCAAAAGGAAGGAAGGCCGCAGCTCGGATTGTGGAGGCAGGCTTGTCAGCTCTTTGTCCTCAGAAAACTTATTAACTTAACAAGTCCGCCGAGAAAAGAATGATTTCTCACACGGCTCGCCGTATGGTTAACCCAGAGTAAACAGCGAGGGAGGCAGAGGAAAGGAAGGAAGGGTACTATTTGATCTCCGAGGAGTGGAGCGAGCACAAGCCTGCCAGGAGGAAATCAATTTTATTTCCATTCAGAAATAACTGAAATTGACGGGATGACGAGTAGGACGGTTGAAGCTACATTTATATCTGGTTTTAGATTAATTACATTTTTACAAACACTTGTGTGAAAATCGTAAAAGTAAGTCAAGGCGTTAGAAGTTAGGATTAACACAACAAAATCCTGCATGGGATTATAATATAGAGAAAGGTTCAGGGTTTGAAACGGCATTTTTGGAAGACTCATGCCCTTTGTGATGATGTGAGGATGTGAAGATGTGGAGGTCCTGTCCTTGAGACTAAATCTACATGTTACAATACATGTTAACATTGATTCAATGAATCTGGTTCTCCAGTATATCGCCGCTATAACAATAACAATCCGCTGCTTGAAGCAGACAGAGGGAATAGTGTTGGCGGACAGACAGAGACCACAGAGGGACCCGAGTCGGCCGGGGTCACCACACACCTCGGGCACATAGCTGATGTCACGCGTCTGCTGCCTGAATTGGGCTCTGTTCAGCTCCGCTAATGTGCAGGTCTGAGTCGTCTCGCTTCGTAATCACTTCAGCTGTTTCACTTCAAGGGACGGAGGGGTGATAATGAGCTAAATTGTTTTATGTGTTAAGAGTCAGACAGCCTTAAGCCTGGAAACCGTAAGAACAATTTGACTCGGTATGTGGAGGTCTAAAGATAGTCTGACACTAGCTAATGTGTATTTAAGTGGTTGTATAATGGTGAAGGGAAAGGAATAAATATGGAACTGACTACAGGAGTGGATCTGTAGACTCTGCACAATATGAACAAATCTTTTGTGCAGCTAGAAGCTCAAAGGCGGCTTCCTATCAAAAACTCTATGCAGGGGAAAAAAGAATATTGATCTTCACAGAGCACATTGATTTTTGGTTAATATCTTAATAATAATGATAGTAGGCTTAATGTTTAAATGTTAAATTAATAGCATCCCAACATGTTGTTTATGACTTGACAGCATTGACGGCGATACTGCATTTCAATTTCAATACATTATATAAATCACATTACAGTCGATAATATTACATTGTTTTCAAAGGATATCATTCTCAGTTTAAACCTTTAAATGGAGATTAAACAGAAAAACACATATTTGCCTGTTGTAAAATGGTTTTACAATCTTACTATTTCCTTCTTAAATCGAAGTATGCAGTCATTAAAATGTTTTAAATGTCCTCCATTTGTTTCACGCGCTGCAGGAAATGTAGCCTACAGAGGCTAAATTTAGCTAGCTTGCTCCCATGCTATGCTAGGTTCTATACAGCACTTCTTACAGATTATATTATTTTTGCAGATTTGCAGAACGTCCTGCAATCACAGGAGCTCTTTCGGGCTGTTTTAACTGTAGGGTGCAACTATTCCCCTCATGCACTGACAAAATGATTGCAGGTCAAATTCAACACTCAGGTGAGTCAATCCCACAACTCTGCACTACGTCACTTAATCATTGAAAACAGTGAAAACACGTGCGTGCTTGTGTCATGGCTGCGCGGCTTCGAGATCAAACGTGCTAGAGAATGAATCGACTTATTGATGAATAACGTCGTTAAATATTTGCTCCGGCCGAGCAGATACAGTCACTGTCGGTGAGTGGCCTACTTCTACGTGTGCGTAACTTGTAATTGAGTATTTAACAACTTAGTGTTACGTGTGATCGTTTTATTAGGCTTCAAATGTGCTTGAAGGACGCCAGCGGTTCATGGAGGCGTGTTTTTGATAGTCCGTTGTCGCCACCTGGTGGCGGACATGAAGTACTGCGCGTACCGTCGCACGGCAAACAAGAAGGCGGAAGACTCAGTAAGTACCAAATATTTGAATATTTACAGACAAACTATTTGCCTTATTCATAATATCCTGTAATACAACGTAATATATTGTGCCAAAACACGAAACATGAGCTCGTTTGTTATAATCTTGAAACCAGGCGTGTCTCCTCTGTTGAGGCCTCACAGTGACCAGGTGGTGCACTGCTGCAGTTCAGGCTTTGTGAATTTTGATAATAAGGTAGCATGAGCACCTATACTGCCATGTTTCCGCTCACCTTTCCGTGCAAAAGTAGTTTATGCGTGGGAAATGTTCCTGAAAGAATAGCGCGTTCTTAATATATGCGTCGACTCCCGTTTGATGCCGATTTGTATTATAATGGGGCCGTTTAACAGAAGCTCAAACGTGTAGGACTCAATTAGAACAAAGGATAAAGAGCAAGAGATTAGCAACACATCGACACAATTAACTAAAAGCTAAATGTAGGCTCCAGAAATCAAATACTCAGGAAAGAATTTATATCGAAAGAAGGCATGATGAGGACATTCTAAAATGTAAAAATGCAAGTACATTATTATTTGCTTGACTTATATTTCGTATGTCATAACACACATTCCTTACTCCATTAAGTCCCAGATACTGCTCCACATTTCCACCGAAATTAATGTCACAAATTACCTTTCAATCAAGACTAATGAGTGAATATATTATCTAATTATTTTATGATTAGATAATACGTTGTTTATTCTTTTACACCTTAATGTTGTGTAATAGGAAACTTTTTTCCCTCTTATTGTCTCACATTGTTTGGAGCTCTCTTCTCACTCGTATAGCAGTTAAGCCCTTCTGCAAATATTCCACATCAACCTGTGTGGCATTTGTAAATGGAGGAACAGGCAGAATGCTTTCAAAAACGTCCTGAAAAAGTCCTTCTTGTCTTTCGTTTTTCTGTTTTTCTACTGTTTACTTTTACATCATTGAGACTTCACCCTCCTTTTTGACACATAAGATGCCACCGATTTACAACTTGGGATGCTTGGTAACCGGACCGTACACAAACCCTATTTAAACGCCACGTCGCCGAGCTGCTGCTGAATGCGTCTGTTTACTGGGGTTTGTTTAATTCACGCTGAATCGCCACGGCCGACGTGGCAAACAATTAGGGTGAAATGATGTTGCTTAAAGCCACTCTGAAGCATCCCAAACAGATTCCAATCTTTACTCCCGAGAGCTGACTCATGAGAGCTTAATCCTGTTGATGGAAACAGAATCCCACCCGTGTCAAAACGGCCCGCTCCCCCAGGTGCAGAAGCCACACAGGCTCTGGCTTGTCTCCCTTTATCGTAGCTGATGAATTGAGAGGGCTCTTGGGCGCACCGCCCAGGACGGGGGTTGGCTAATTAGACGGCCTGTTTTCTCATAAATATCTATAGTGATGAAAATTAGGCACATAAAGGCTATAGTTAAAGGCCTGTGAAAGTGTGGGATGCAAACTGTGAAGGCAAAGCGGACAATGTGTGTCTTTTACAAATGCAACAATTGGACTACCCAGATTTCATCATGTGGAGTTCTGTGATGTTGCTCAAAATATGGAAACTTTTACAAGCTCAACACTTTTCATATAGCTAACTCCCATAACGGCAGCGTCATCTATCAGTAGTGTGTATATCTAGTTTTTTGTTCTAAATGGAAACCCTTCATTGTTCAATACTTTCAACTACAATGAAGACTCATTAGGCTTCTGTTAAGTCCAGTTTAACAGCTGATAATGAGATCAGGACTGATAGGTTATCTTCCTATCTTTTAGGGACATTTTGACGGCAGAGATGGACCCGTAATCACATTGTCTTTGCTAAGTCTTACGGACAGCTGTAAACGAAGGCTCCAAACCTCCTCAGATAAGCCGTCCTCCCTAATGGCAGATGCCACATTCAGGTAGAAAGTAAGCCTTCTACTGTCCCGACTTCTGTGCCATAATTGCAGCTACTAAAGTGTCTCTTAAAGCTCACCAGAATTTTTCTTTGTGAATTGTGATAAAGTAAATGTAGGCTGTGTTTCAGGAAGATAGATCAACATAAGATTCCATGCATCAAATGCAAAGCAGACGCAGGAGAAAAAGACTATTAATATATAATTGATTTACTATATAAGTCAAATCTTGTTCGACCATATTGTAAAAAATAAAAGAAACGTTAATTTTCTAAAAGGCAACATAAAGGACGTTTTATAATATTCAGTTCACCCTCCGACTGGTTGCTGGTCCTTCTAATATAAAGAGTTTTAGAGGCTCAACAACACCTTGGTTAGTAAATCATCTTCAATCATCTATCGATGCTGTATAAATCAGCAAAAATTAAAGATTGCGGAGGGGGAACCAAAGTAGTAGCAGTAAAAAGTAATTTGAGTGGTTGTATATCCTCTGGCATAGCTTCTGTTGTCATTAGATGTAAATGGACCACTTACCTTAAGAGCTGCAGGCCGTCCGTAATCCAAAAATTCAACAACTTCTAAATATTTACATTCACAAATATGGTGTCTTGCTCTCGTGGATGGCGGCTTAGTGACGTACCAACACTTACAGTTGCAGAACAAATATTTGACTATAAAAAATTCATGAGCCTTAGCGAGTTTTGAAACGAATGAGCTAATATATCTTTATTCAAGAGTCCAAGGGACAGACGAGGCTTTCGCTCTTTCACAGAGATTCATAAGTGAACCAGAGCCTTCTGCTCGCATGTTCGTGTGTTAGACCCTCAAACATCTCGGACATTTGAGATGAGCACATAGAAACGTCCTGCAGAGCATGTGAAGCTCAACCATATGGAATGTAATAAAGTGCCATAAAGGTAAAGCTTCAGTTCTAAACACATGTTTTGTCTTATATTAATGAAGTCATTCATTCAAACTTGTAAAAGTTTCGTCACAATAACAATCTGCTGCTTGACGCAGATAGAGGGAATAGTTTTGGCGGGACCATCTGAGTAGGAACCATCTGAGGGTTGAACCCTCCCCGTCTCCCCCTGCAGGGACTGGGAACATTGGGCTCCAGTATCACCCCATGACATCACAGCAGTGAGGTATCAGCTGACTGGCACACACTTCACATGACCTGCTGAAGGCTGAAGGGGGGGGGGCAGCAGCCTTGTTGATTGAATCAGCTTATATAGAATTTATAAATCTGTATCTGCTGAATCATTTAGATCGGATCCATTACAGATACGTGCACCAAATGAAACAATAGTAGCACCTAAAGTACTGCTTAACCGGTCAAGCAGTTTGCTGTTTGAAAGTCTATTTAGAGTCCTGAAACATTATGCCTCTGTTGGAGATGGCGGCTGTAACAACCTCCCGCCTAATACGTGATCAGAAGCGCCGCTCTATATTTATCAAATCACATGGAGCTCACCAGAGGACACACAACATGGCGCTGCTGAGACTCCAGACCTCCTAGACCTTCACCTCCTGTAGACCAGGGTCACAGCTGGAGCAAGACGGGTAGGAAACTCACATGATGAACGAGTACACATGCAGACAGCTGCAATTGCAGAGAAAAGTCCTACTTTTTCTTGTCATACTTCACATTTAATTAAAAGATGATAGATTGGTTCACTAGCTAGTTTTAAGTGCATTCTTGAAAATATTATTATTTAAGGTCGATTTTAGTAGATAATCTTGTTGCATTTTAGTAATATTATTTAAATAATAAAATATGAAAAATTGAGCTGCAAAACCTGGTTTACATTGAATTTACTAGACTTTTTATTTCATAAATTACTTTGTTGGTTTGATTAGTTATTGTGTGACAGCTTAGATTTCTTTTGTTTATGATCTTGCTGGCATTATGGTTCTTTAGCATTATTTTGAACTCTGATCATGTGATTTAATAGCTCATTTTATTGTTTTTTTGCAGGTTATATTGCAAAGTCAAAATGGACGACTTTGAATACAGCGTGGAGATCTGTGACCGGGACTGGGACTGCTTCTTTGCACAGTGCGAAGACTCCAACCTGCTTCCTCCTTCATTAGCGGGCGTGGACGACTCGGGGATGAGCGACATCGATGAGACCGGTTCCCATCTCACTACGAGGCTCCCGAAAATTGACCAAACAGCCGGCCTCCTGGCGGCTGACCGCTCCATCGATGGCCCCCCCGACTGCGAGGGCTCTCCCACGGAGCGTTACCTCGGCAAACACGCTGTCGCTGGAATGGAGAGCGTGCTCTCCGGCAGCGAGGAGGACATACACCTGCAGTCGGTCAATGTATTCTTTGAAAGGCTGAATCGTTGTACAGAGCCAAGCCGAGCGAGGGATGTGAAACACAGAGAGGCAGCGGAGGAGAAGGAGGAGGAGGAGGAGCGGAGGAGGGTTAGTGATGGGAAACAAGCCAGCCGCAGTTCTTGGCCAAAAAACATCCCCAAGTTAAAGTCTCTCTCTGCCAGCGGTGGAACAGCAGTTAGCAAAGAGACCACAGCGCCTGTCGAAACCGTCAGCAAGATAAACATTGTGAAAAAGTATGTGCTTGGCGCTGAGATTTCTCCCGAATCGGCAGCCAGTAACTCCGCGCTCCAGACTCACAAATCAGCTGAAACAAGGTTATTCAGCGGAGAGGAATTACGTTCAGAAACCAGAGTGAATGAGACGACGCCTCTGAACCGGTGCCATGACTCACCAGAGGGGGTCGTCTGCTCAGAAACAACGCCAGTGGAAACGCGCGCACCTCTGCAAGATGTTGATCGGGAAGATTTGTCGAAAAGTCAGTTGAGCATCTCTAAAAAAGGTTTCACCGATTCATTGAGTAATCTAGAGATGGTGAAGCACGTCAAAGGGAAGGGAAACCAAAACGCTGATGTCGTACAGATGGAAGCAACGCGTACCTGCAAAACCTCAAGCCGAGAGTCGCCCCCATCTGCCTCCGTCAGACGAAAGAGAAGGAAAAAGAGGCGGCTGAGCGTTGAGTCAGCTGAGAGTGTGCATGGATATGAGCGGCAGGCTTCAGCCAAGCACAGTGACTCAGAGGAAGAACGCTCTGCCTGGAGACGAGCAACAGGTCTGTGTTTGTCTGAGGATTTGAAACTATCTTATTTAATCACACCACAAAAAGAATGCATTTCAGTTCTCCCAGTGAAACCAAATTTGAAGAACATCAAAATAGATCATCTCGATCAATACAGTCAATACCAATATTTACCAGAGCGCATAGTAACGAAGGAAAGGCCTAAAGAAACAAATAATGTAACTAATGATGGGTCATTAAACCCCTCGAGTCAAACTGACAACAGTGCCACGTCAGCGCCACGCAACACTGGGAAAGTGGATAAAAATTTGCAGCAGAACATTAAGCTACACATTGAAGAGACAACTGAGTGGCCAGTCGTGATCACTGACGCCGTAACTGGTAAAACAGAAACGGCACCGCGGGGAAGTAATGACTCTCATGCCGGGAGCCTCCAGCACAAAACCAGTCAGTCCGTCATTTGCTGCGAAGATGAACGAAATCCAGAATCGTGCGCGGCGGAGGTCAAATCCATACGTATCCTGTCAAGCGCAGAGTCCAATGATCCGGTGCAAGTCCGCCAAAATGACAGATTATCCGCTGCTAAGTCGGTCCTTGCTGTGGAGGCTGGACATTCTGGCAGAGACGAGCACATGCTGCGGGGAAGAGGAGCTGAGCCCCAACAACAGCTGGAAATTGACTGTGAAGACAAACGCCGGTATGGTTCTGCACGGGAAAGTCCTCCGCGTCCTCCGTCTGCAAGCAGCTCCGATGACACAAAACCCAAGGAATTCAAAACTAGATTCTGTCCAGTGTTGGAGATTTCCAGTAAAGTGGGCTGCGCTAAATCCCCATCGGACACCAGCTATGCATTGCCTAATAGACACTTTTGGGCTAAAAGTCCCAACCGTTTCGCTATAGATTTCACACCACAGCAGACAAATCTTTCCCTGGTGTCTCACACGTTATCCAAACTCCAGGTTCCTTCAGAGAAAAACACAACCGCTGATGGAGCTGGATTGGCAGCATCTCAAATGTCTTCTCAAAGCGGGAATCCCCTTCGATCTGGCGAAAGCATAGCTGAGAGCCGGAGAGAAACCAGACCTTCCGCGTCTGAAGACTTGCCAACACGTCCTTCAGATATTACACCTGTATCGCCCTGCTGCACCACGGACACGGGATCCGCCCTGTCAATCTCTGAAAGTACCACAGACGTGTCAGGAAGTTCTTTTTTATCCGTCAAGCAAAATGACCATGGAGATGGAAGGCAAACACCACCAACCGATCACAAATGTGAAGACGTCGTCACAGCACCTAAAGCAGATTGCGAACCTCAAAAGGCACCAGATTCAAAGCATTCAGTGTTCGCAATGTCCTCTTTCTGGAGAGAGATGGAGATGCTGACGATAAATGACATTCTGGGTTTACGAATGATCAGCAAAGCTGCACCGCCGAGCTCTCTCGTGCCCACGCAGGAAAGCGAGGAGACCCGCAGGTTTGCTATAACGGACTCTGGCTTTTTCACTCAACTGGACGGGTCCATGCTTGAACTCCCCCACAAAGACCCACAGAGCGATCCCAACTTCACAGAAACACGTTCGGGTTCTGTTGTCGCAGCCAATTCTTCCTCTTCAAGTGGTGTTGTGTGGGAGAACATTTCTCAACCCGAAGGGGCTCAAACGAAGATTTCCAAAAACGTAAGCGTGCGCAATCTACACGCCCTGCAATCTGAGTCTGCGAAATACGCAAGGAAAGTCCAAACTTTACAAACCTTGGATGAGGGAGGATTACAAAGAGAAGAGCATTTCACTGAAGTACACATGCCGGAGCAAGAAAAGGCTTCATTATCAACAGAAAGCTATGGAATATCTCTCACAGACATATTTCAGTATCTCTTTCGTGGAAAACAATCAGCTCCCAGCCAGTCGGTCACAGAAAACATAACCGCGTTCTTCACTGACGGAAATTCTGTGCCTGAAACTTATGACCATTTCTTCTCAGACTTTGATACGGAAAGCTTCTTCTTCCCTCTCGTCCCTGCAGAGGATCATTCTCGCTCAGCTAACAGGAATCTACAGTTCCCTGAGGCGTACGAACACTTCTTTGCCTCCTCTTCCTCTGATGAGTCCTCTGTGGAATCTGATGCAGAAGACGGCGGCGGTCCTGTGAGGGTGGTGACCCGGTTTGACCACGCATCAAGCGCACCTCCGACTTCTACAGACGTATATGAGGATTTCTTCACGGACAGCGACCTCAGGCAGAATTTCTTTTGGAACGCCAGCCTCTCCTTCAGGAACATGACTTTAACCGGGTCTGCGGTCCCGAAGCAGACTCTCTCAAACCCTCCGTCCCGTGCAGCTGTGAGGAAACGTGGCAGATCCCCTGCAAGGACTCTTCATCCTCTACACGCTGTGGGAAATCAGCACGGCACGTTTCCCGAGAAGCTTTTGTACCAGCGGCCTTTCAGATGCGAGGACGTGCAGGCGGTTGTCTCAAATCCAAGTAAGTCCAGCTTCACACCCAATGATGTGTCATTAAATGTCACAATACATTTTTAACGTATGCTTGTTCTGTCACTGAATTAGGTGCTGTAAAATGTTTTCATGCTGCCTCAAAGTGAAACTACTTACCAGAAATAATTTATTATTCAATCCAAAAGTTATTACTGTTACAAACTAATGAAATCGCTGCGACAAAATCTGAACCAGCGTCTGCCAGTCACCACAAAGCCGACACAGATAGCTTTGACTATTTCTATTCATTTTAAAATCAACCCATGTTCAAATTTCACTCCAGTGTAAAAATATTGCTCCTTAATATTAATCCTAGTGAGTTAAGCTCTGTGTTTTCCTCCCTCGTGGACAGTTGTTTGCATTTATCATCCACTCGCTCAGCTGGGACAGACTTTCTCACCTCGGCTACCGATTCTGCAGCAGCCACACGGGGCGAGAACCTGCAGGACCGCTTGGACGTGATAACTTGACTCCACTTAACGAGGGTCCTCGCCAAGCTCCCGCTCGATAGCTCTTGTTTATTTGGCTACGAAGGAAATGGAAAAAAAGGCATTAACTGGAGCTTCTAATATACCACCTGACCTTCAGCAGTTATCTCTTTAGGATTATCTCCAAGGCATCATTTTAAATATCAGTAGCATCAAGCGGCCTTGTGCTTTTGCACTAATCTGTGCAGCGCCTGGAACTTGACCGGGTCACAGTGGGACTGAACAGGAAGCGCCAACATACTGATGCTTGTGCTCAGCTGTTGATGTGTTATTGCCAATTATAGAACCCGTGATCTCTCATGGGACCTCACCGTGGATCGGTAATGTCATTGAATGTGACACACTTAAGGATTTAATATGTTTTTCTATAACTTTCTTTGAAGGGCTGGATGCCTCCCTGCTGCCTCTCAGGCAGTCAGACATGTGTCTGGTTTGTATTGCGTTTGCTTCGTGGGTACTGAAGACTGCCAACCCACAAGTTGGAGACACCTGGAAGGCTGGTATGCGGATGCAGTTTTAATCTCATTTTGAAAAGCTGGATTTGCAGGTCCGCTCTATTTAAACATTTTGTTTACGGAACTAAAATAACTAATTAGTTGTAGGACTGTATTACATTTGACTTTCATACTGGAATCCGTTTATTTCATCTTTCTAAGGACTGTTATCAATATTAATATTAATAATTATATAATGTCTGCCAGTAAATATGGAGGTAAAATCAACCAACCCCTTAGATAACGTTAACTTTTTCTTAAAGTTGATTTTATGTGGAGAGATGAATTCAGTGCTGCACGATGACTCACTTTTAATATCCATTCTCACACAGTTCTGCTGGCGAATGTAAGCGCTCTGTCAGCCATCCGATACCTGCGTAAATACGTCAAGATGGAGGCAGCCGCCAGTGAGAAGGACGGGAGTAACACCGCCCCGTCTGATCCTTGAGGTCTCCGCCTCCAGTTACATCACGCTTAAAGTGGAACATTCTTCTTTGAACACCTGATACAAGCCAGTGCAAGACTTCAGGCCGTCATGGAATTTGGCAAGTTATGCACTGAAATTGTGTTTTATTACAAGTTTCATCGATCTTTCCATTAAATGGAGGTTACAGCAATTTGTTTTTTTTTCTAGATATTTTGGTCTTTAACTTTTGAAAGCATTCATATGAAACTAGACAAAAGTATATCATCGTTGGAGGGATTCTATTTTGTGCCAGTATCTATTTTGCATTTAATGGAGGGTATTTTGTTCCCAAAGATTTTCTTGTGATTTGTATAAGTTTCTCTCTGAGATCTTTTTTTTTATGTCTGTAACATTTTCAGTTTAGTTTTTCCAAAACCACATGGACCTGAAGGTGAAACGTTTAAACACTAGAGGGCACCTCAGGGCCATAAAAGAAGCTGGAAAGTCCCAGCTGGGTCAGCTGCAGTTTTCAAGCTTTTGAAGTTATTTGCTAATACTGGATTTTGAATAAAACTATTATTTCAAAGTATGGTGCTTATAATGTGCTTATTCACCACAATTGCAAAGTATAAATAGGAGATCTTGTTCTGTTCAAGAATCACACATATTTTTGCCAGCAGCTGTTAATGTTGAAACATAGAATACAACGTGTACTCTACTTACAGCACAGATTTGATTTTTCAGATATTTTAGAAACTGCTCTTTGTTAAGCATTTTAAAATTTCACTGATTCAGAGACACACTCGTGGAATGATCGCTCTACAAGAGAATTTATTTCCTAATATAATCCTGAATATCAGATGTGAAGAGCATAAAATACATAATGTTTGGGGTAATTTTCTGGTATACAATCACCTTTATTTTGAAATTCAAAATCTATAATGAAATGTTTTTAGTCTCGAAAATGAGATGAAATCTACTGTATGTCTGGAGTCTAAGCTGCTAAATCCTCCACTGGGTTCACCGGCTGGTGGCAAACTGTATCTGCTGGTTATTTGTGACGAGGCGGTAGTGTTCAGGACATGTCGAGTTTTTCCAGCGAAAACAGCAGCTGCTGCTGAGTTTCACTTTCAGGTATTAGATCTGTTGGTTGATTCTGTTTTCGCAAATTGATTTTTGATAAAACATTATTGATATAGCGATTTTAAAAGTATGAGTAGAATAAGACAAAGGAGTGATAGAGATGAAATACTTTTTTTCAGTTTTATTTCCAAATATAAATAAACACTTCTAATAAAATAATAAACGCAGCCACACAGGTTTCAGTACAGTATTGCAGTAGTTGGTAGGTAATAGCACCTTTTAAGGCAGTCAGCTAAAGCCACATCTAATTGCTTTTATAATGCAGCATAATAAAAAAGAATTTACAACATTTACAAAAATATACTTCTGCTACTGAATAAAGCCCTGATGGAATGTTGTTTAAAGCTATAAATAAAAACAAAAACAAATACAAGTAAACTGAACAGCATGTTACAAACGTCTGCTAAGCCCTACAAATGAAGCCTTCAGTGCAATTTCAAAATATATTAAAAGGTAACTACACAGTATGAACTCTTTGCTGTCCTCTCGGCTGAATGCTACATATTAAAGGGAATAAGTCAGTTGTTACTGTCATAGTGTTTAGGCCGCCCCTCTTTATTCCTGCTCTTTTGCTTGACTACCGAACAATCTAACAATGCAGTTTGTGTGATTTGACGGTTCATACTGTATGCATCAGGAGCAACACAGGCCTGCACGGGCGGCTTTTTATTATCCCTCTGATAGAGATCTGTTGTTTGCACACGTCCAGACGAGTGCCGGCCCATTGTTTTGTTTTATGACCATCTCTGCCCGGTTGCCATGCCGCCGAGGCCTCTGGCCACAAAGTCTAATCCTGTCCGGTGTGTCGAAATTCCAGACGCCGGCGGAATCACCCCAGTATCACAGTCGTACGGCCAAATGTTGTCATAGTCCATTTCCTGGTCATCTGGTTCTGTGGGTTCGAGGTACGAGTTGTGATCTGTGAGAGCGAGAGAAGATTCCCAGGCGTTTAGTTTCAAACAATGGAAGACAAACCTCGCCCTGACTGAATAAACTTCGACACAGTCCCAACATACATATGGTGTGATTGGCTGTGTACCAACATTTAACCTTACTGTAAAACAAGCAGTGCAACATGCCACTACACAAATGTTGTATTCGTGTCTTCTTTCTCGTGGTGCAGCAAAGTTGAACTGGTCAGTTGAAATAATGCCGTCATTGCACATGTTAGAACTCAACTGTGAATCGCAGTGACGTGCAACTGCCGGGTTAATTCTCAGGTTTTCATTTGTGATGAAAGAGCCTCCAGATACTTGTGCTGGCTTGCACAGTTGTGTGCTGTCAATCACGGGTCAGGGATAAGCCCTGTCTGTGAAACAGTGTTGTCTTACACTGGGCTCCCCCCCCCCCCCCCCCGACACGGGGCATCTGCACAAGCGACATTTAGAGCTGCGCTAAGCTCCGTTTCATTGGCACATCTACGCATTTCCTGCTTTAGCCTTCTGTCTGGCCGCTGACAGGTTTGAACAATCGGAACAAGTGTGTGTCGTGTTGAATTTAAGGTGTAGTGCAGTGTGAGCAATGGCCCGTGTCCTTGTGGGTATTACGTTAGCTCATACTTGTGAGGAGATATGATGTTGCCATGCTACAATTTAAAGCAGTGACCATGGATTCTCGATAGAAACAATTCATATTTAGCCTTTTTTTCTTTTTTCTTTTCTTACCTGGAGAATAACCGTAAGGCATCGGAGGGTTGTTTGTCACACCGTTCAGCGAGAGGAGGATCTATGGAAAGATGTGAAAACATACCACAGTTACTTCCCGTGATCAGCTACAACAAACATTCCTGCGTTTCCAAAAATATCTGTTTTAATCCGTGGCATCTGTTCAAATATCCCCTGCAGGACAGGTATATACACAAGCTCTGCTATCATACACCATATTTCTGTTGCACTTTGAACAACAGCATTCCAGAAGCCGGAGTGTCCCGGGAGATGAGCGTCTCTGGGCTCCTCACCTGCTCGTCCGCTTGGATCGGCGCGGGCAGCAGCTTCAGCCTCGACACGGCCTCGGCTCTCTGCGCCTCCTGCCTCTGGGCCTCGTCCATCTCCAGGCCCAGAGCTTTCCCCTGGGAGTTGGTCAGGACCAGGCTTCTCCGATAGCGCCTCCCCATGGGAGGGGTGCGGAGCTGGAAAGACGAGGGTAGGGGCTGGGCCCCCTGCTGGGGGTGGTGCTGTTGGTGGCGGGGATGAATCCGCTCTTGCCAGAGCTGCTGCTAAAGGACCGAGGGAGATGTGTCAGAGAAGGAAAGCTATAAACATGTAATACTGGAGTCGAGATGATCAAGTCAAATAGATCTTAGAAAAGAGTAAAGCTGAAATAAATACGTTTTACTGAATCAAAATGTAAAGGAAATGACATAACCAGCAGCGGTAAAACCAGTCCTTTATGGATTTTCGTTTAGTAATAGTTCAATCTTTTGAATGCATGGGAAGGAGCCCGCTACAAGCCTCTGCATTATCTAATCTTTCTTATTTTTTTGCTGAACGTGTGCATGTGTGCACCGTTTGATATCAAACGAGGCTGCACAGGTGTAAATACAACCAATGGATCCAGGATCGTTGACCCACTTACCAATGGCCTGGCGTCATGCAGCGAGTAGATTTCAGGGCTGTTGGGCTCATCGTACAGAGGCGACAAGGGCTGTCGGGGGGCGCACATGTCCGAGTGGCGCTGCGGGGTATTATGGGAGTAGTTCAGGGACGTCTGCGGGGTGCTCCAGCTGTTGGACTGATCAGGAAAAAAAATCAGAAAAACAGTTAGTTTAAAACACCAAACAGTGAGAGGAAAATCAATTGCCACGTTTCCCTCTGTCTCTTTTCGTCTCATATTGGCATCTCTCTCTCTCTCTCTCTCTCCACCTCGCTCGGTTCAAAGCAGGCAATCACGAGCCACTGTAAGGATCAGAATACAAAAATACAGCTGTTGCCGACCCCGATCTGCAGCAGCCGGTGTGACGGCAGGATGCTTTCTCCAAAATCTGCTTGGCCACTCAGTGATTGGATTAAAACCTGAGCTCCTAACCGCCGTGGTGATGATAGGGATAAGCAAAGGTTGTCTGATTGGAGGCTTAAATTTCGTTTAGCAACTATAATTGAGCTTTCATCACAGCCCCATCAAGAAGAGTGATCTTTCACCTTCGTTTCCGCCCACATGCATCTGTTTCCCCTTTTCTTAACGCCATTCGTATGACCCCTGTCAGCCGACGGCTTGGTGCGTCTATTTTAGTAACCGCTCACAGGGCTCACGAGCCCACAGTCTCAGGGGGAATATTTGGTTATCGAGTGAGACGCCAGGCCGAATTACCTTGACTAGCGGCGCTTTCTCCAGCCGCTGCGGACTGGCCCGCTGCAGGGCCGAGTACGGCGTGCTGTAGAGCGGAGAGCGCACGGCGCTCGGCTCGGCTGGCTGGAGGTAGGAGCCGCGCTGGGGGGAGGAGTAGCGCCCCGACGAGGGTCGCTGGTTCTCCGGCCTGGTGTGTGACGACACGCTGTTGGTCCGGCTGCCCAGGCGGGCCGTCTCGGTTGAGGAGGGACGACTGGAGCTGTACTGTGGAAGACAACAGACAAACGCAGGGCAGAGTTCAGCAGGGTGTTGTGGTGTTTAAAGGAAGATGGCTCCGCTTCAAGCTAATTGGACGGGCAGTCGGCCTACAGAGCCCCTCTTCCGTGGGAGTCGTGATAAAGCAAAGTGCTTCAGTACTTCTTAGAGAGACTGAAGGTTACAAGAAAAGCTTTTGCTGCTTAATTAACCAAAGAAAAAGCCTGTCATTTCCCTCCATTGAAAAGTAGTTTTTATATTTTTTGTGAGAACTTAATGACTTTGTTTTCAATGATCTGAGGATCATCGCCTGAACATTTGTAACAGGAGCGGTTTGGTGTCCAGACTTTGCTTGATAATTAACTAAAAAAAGGTGTTGCTGCTCTGCTCCACCAAAACAAACAAAATGTGTTCTTTGGCAATGAACAGCAGACTCCAGAAACATTTATATCTGTGTAAATATCGTACAGTTGGCATGTTTGCTTCTGGTGATTAGTTTGATAGGTAGCACGCGGGTGACTCACGCAGAGGGGTTCCGAGTATTCCTGGGAGAGAGGGTTGTCTTTATGAATGGGTACGTGAAGGTTGTGGGACCCACATCCACTCTGTGAATGGTTGAACTTGCTGAGAGACTCAGTGCGTCCATGGCTGTTTCCACTCCACCTGTCAAACTGTGGAACCTATAATAAAAATAAAAATACTAGTTAAAACAATTAGACTGGGAACCAATTGCCATCAGGCTTATGTCTTTAGACCTATATCATGTTGAATGTGAAGAGAGGCAGGGCTCTGCTTGTCCCGGTACTTGAGTCACGACATCGTTGAAAGGAAAGAGGGCGGGGCTTACCTCTCTGTGCGTCGGGGTGTAGATGATGTCATACACAGGTGGCGGGGGGCAAACAACCG